CTCAGAACAGAACAAGCAAGCTAAGTTCATCCACTGAGGAATGGGTCAACAAAATCTGGTATATCCATGCAATGGAATATTATTCAGCCATTAAAAGGAATGAAGTACTGATACTTGCTACAACAGGGATAAGTCTCAAAAACGTAATGCTATTATAAGTAAAAGAACCCAGTCACAGAAGGCCACATATAGTGTGAGTCCATTTATATGAAATATTCAGAACAAGTCAATCCATAAAGACAGAAAGAAGACTGGTGTTGCCAGGGGCTGGGGAGAGGATGGAGCTTGGGAGCTAGTGAGCTAATAGTGGGTATGGAGTTTCTTTTTGAATGATGAAAATGTTCTAATATTAGATTATATTGATGGTTTCAAGTTGGGTGAATATACAAAAAACCATTGAACTGTACACTTTAAACAAGTGAACTTTAAGGTGTGAAAATTATATCTCGATAAAACTTTTTTAAAAAAAAAATAACATGAGAGCTAAATTAATGGGAGGCTGGGCATGGAGGCTCATGCCTGTAATCCCAGCACTCTGGGAGCCCGAGGCGAGCAGATCACTTGAGGCCAGGAGTTCGAACAGCCTGGCCGACATGGTGAAACCCCTTCTCTACTAAAAATATAAAAATTAGCCGGGTGTGGTGGCACATACCTGTAGTCCTGGCTACTCAGGAGGCTGAGGCAGGAGAATCACTTGAACTGGGAGGTGAAGGCTGCAGTGAGCCGAGATCGCCCCATTGCACTCCAGCCTGGGCGACAGAGCAAGACTCCATCTCAAAAAGAAAAAATAATTAATTAATGGGAATGGTCAGGCTAGATAATGATTAAGCTAGAAAGCTGGGGAAAGGGAGATGCCCCAGACTAGGCTATAAAAGGCTCTTTTGAGGGGAGGATGGGCTAAAGGAACTACTTGAAGGGGAGGGAACCCTGTAGGCCACAGCAGAGGCAGCTGACTGATAGAGCATCTTGGGGGCTAGGTCAGTGGCCACACCCCGCCATCAACTGACCATTAGAGGTTGTATTAAATTTTGGGGTAGGACATAGTTAAAAGCTGATAATTGCAGCCAAAAGAAGTATCAACTAGATAAAGAGATCTCCAGGAGACCCTGAACAATGAAGCAAAAATGGGATAGTCGACTAGTGCTGTACAGAAGGAAATGGTTAGAATTAGCAGCCAACTCCTGTTAACCAGAAAACTAACTGGTTTTTTTTTCTTCTTCTTTCTTTTTCAGACTATAGCCTTCACATTCCCTCGGTGAGTACAAAACTTTTTAAAAATTATGTCTGATGTACAGATAACTAGCTTAAGATAATATGTGGGATTTAATTATTAGAAGAGCATTGTCTTCTTGAGAAAGAAGGCCATATGGTCAGCGTGTTATATTTGAATTTTATGCCTTACCTTGCTTGAACAGGCTCATATCACACCTTTTTGTTACATCATTTGTGTGTGTGTGTGTGTGTGTGTGTGCATGTGTGTGTGAAATTTGGCTCAGCTGCTTGATCTCCTGAAATGTATTGTTGAGGACACAATTTCTACATCCTTTCCTTTCACTGACTTGTCGTTGCTTTTAGAAGGGTCTAGCTTTATCTCAATGGCATACATCCGACCACTGTTCAGGAGCGTGGGGGCACATAATTGCATTGATGGTAACTGCTTCTCAAATTGATCTGCTCTAGAGAAAACTGCTGAAAAGGAGCTTCTCCGGATTGCACGCTCAGTAAAAGCAGTATCAGGGTGTCGCATAATTTTATGCCTTTTGGGTCCAGGCAATGGCAAAATTCCATGGCCTTAATGTCCTTAGAAAAAGAAAACTTTAAACAACGGAGCCCTTTTGCAGTCTGCTTAATCAATTTAATGCTGTTAAGTTTCCTAAACAAATCGAAGGACGAAAATCTAAGAGCTTTCGCAGTATCTGCAGTGTGCGGGCAAGTGGCGCGTGGACTTCTGGGTGTGTCTACTTTCAGCGGGCACCATGATGCCAGCCACCGGGAAGCTGTATTTCCTAAATGTATTACCTTGTTTGAAAGGCACTGACTCCATTCTGGAATCATTTTCAGGTCAATGGATCAATTATTGTGCCCTGGTTGGCCCTCTTTTTTAGGCAGGGTGCCCTTTGTGGCACTGTTCCATCTGGGCATCAATGCTCGTGGTCATTCTTGGTGTGATCAAATGCATTTTGACTGTGTAGATTGTTTCTTTCTTTCTTGGTAAGGAATGTTAAATAAAAGTAATGATTGATTAAGCTAGAGAAGAGGGATGCCTTCATTTGCCACCTACTAAGTTAATTTTGTTGTCCATGTTCTCCATTGCATCATTATGAGACATTGTTGATTCTGAATGGGGAACTCTTCTTGGGTAAATGTCAGCGGTGGGATCAAAGAGAAGGATCATTACTGGAATCATATTTACAGGATGGAGGATTAACTATATGAAATCTGCAATCCCTTATTGCCTCAGAATCCTATACAAGGGATGTTGGCTGGTCGATACTGGTTCGAATGCTTATTAAACATGGCTTTCCTTAAAAGCATTGGAGCTGCGTGCTTTATCGAATGCAAGTGTGCCTACCATGCTAGAATGAAATATTTGAGTGTCAGACCCCACAGCTACAGCTCCTTTTAAAATATAGGGCTCAGATTATGATTTGTTACAAGTGTGTGACCTTTGCACCCCTTGTCTCTCCACTCAGTATTGGCCCCTCCGCACCCCATTTTGCCTTCTGCCACTTCCAAAATTTCGTATTTTTCCCGGCAAGTTGACCTGCTCCCCATCAATAAGTCAGCAGCTCCCACAGCTGAGTGATCCTGTGACAGGTGCTTCCAGGGCTCCTCCACCTCCTGGCATTGTCTCAAACCCGGCAAGAGATTCAGAAGTGGGTGCCCTGCCCAAGGGTCACTGACTGTGTGTCCAGGAGCTGACTTCCTTTCCTCCCTGCATCCACCATGGGTAGTTGGCAGCCAGAGCAGCTTCAGGGGGCACCTCCCTTTTCCTGGTCTCATCCTTCCTTTGCCTCCATTTCTTTCTTTCTTTTCTTTTCTTTTTTTTTTTTTTTGAGACAGAGTTTCACTCTTGTTACCCAGGCTGGAGTGCGATGGCATGATCTCGGCTCACTACAATCTCTGCCTCCCGAGTTCAAGCAATTCTCCTGCCTCAGCCTCCCGAGTAGCTGGAATTACAGGCAAGCACCACCACGTCCAGCTAATTTTGTGTTTTTAGTAGAGACAGGGTTTCTCCATGTTAGTCAGGCTGGTCTCAAACTCCCAACCTCAGATGATCCACCCGCCTCAGCCTCCCAAAGTGCTGGGATTACAGGCATGAGCCACTGCACCCGGCCCTGCCTCCATTTCAGTGGGAAAGTAAAGCTCTGCTTCAGGAAGATCCTGAGTTCCTAGATTAGGGGTACTTCTGATTCCAGAAATCTTTCTCTGGATACGAGGAAAGGTTTCGAAGCCTGGGTCTCCTATCTGTGCTGCCTTGTTTGCTGCCTTCGTTTGGGACCTGCCCACTGGGCCACTGATATGGTTTGGCTCTATGTCCCCACCCAAATCTCATCTTGAATTGTACTCCCCTAATTCCCATGTGTTGTGGGAGGGACCTGGTGGGAGATAATTGAATCATGGGGGCAGTTTCCCCCATACTGTTCTCCTCGTAGTAAATAAGTCTCCCGAGATCTGATGGTTTTTTATGGGGTTTCCACTTTCGCTTCTTCCTCATTCTCTTCTCTTGTCTGCACCATGTGAGACGTACCTTTCACCTTCAGCCATGATTGTGAGGCCTCCCCAGCCATGTGGAACTGTGAGTCCAATAGGCCTCTTTCTTTTGAAAATTGCCCAGTCTTGGGTGTGTCTTTATCAGCGTCATGAAAACGGACTATTACAGCCGCCAAGGTAGAATATCAGACTGATCTATTAGCCCGTTGCATTTTCTCTGCTAAGCATTTGAGACTTGTACGGAACATCAGGATATCTGTTAATGGAAGGGAACTTATTTCTCACTTGTGGGATTCAGAGAGGTGCTTTTGAGTCAGTTAGAACTAAAAGGATAGTCCACCTTGGGCAGGGTGGATAAGCCCCCTAAGGCTGGAGATGGTGCCACAGCCACCACCCACACTGGCCAGCTGACTGCAGAGGAGCCTAGTCACACGTGCTGGATGAACACATCAGCCTGTGCGAGCCTTCATTTCTCTCATCTATCCATCACTTCCTAGGATGTGATGTGACATTTAAGTGAGATGACCCAAGGTAGGCATTTAATAAAAGCTAGCTATGGACTGGGCATGGTGGCTTACGCCTGTAATCCCAACACTTTGGGAGGCCAAGGCAGGTGGATCTTTTGAGATGAGGAGTTCAAGACCAGCCTGTCCAACATGGTGAAACCCTGTCTCTACTAAAAATACAAAAATTAGCCGGGTGGTAGTGGCACGTGCTTGTAATCCCAGCTACTTGGGAGGCTGAGGCAGGAGTATTGCTTGAGCCTGGGAGGTGGGGGTTGCAGTGAGCCAAGATTGCGCCACTGCACTCCAGCCTGAGTGACAATGTGAGACCCTGTCTCAAAAAATAAAAATAAATAAAAGCTAACTAACTGTGGTTATCACTGCTACTCTTATTATGATCGTCATCATAGAATCACGGCAACTGTTTCCAAATTTAAGGAAGATATTGAACTGGATTGTAACATATATGCTGGTACCATAGTGGGTATCAAAAGGAGTTCCCTTTACTAGCAGTAATCCACTTTTTCACTTTAAAAAACTTTATTAATATTTGACATCTAGGCCGGGCACAGTAGCTCACACCTGTAATCCCAGCACTTTGGGAGGCCGAGGAGTTCAAGACCAGCCTGGCCAACATGGTGAAACTTTGTATCTACTAAAAATACAAAAATTAACTGAACGTGGTGGCGGGCACCTGCTACTTGAGAGGCTGAGGCATGAGAATTGCTTAAACCTGGAAGGTGGAGCTTGCAGTGAGCCAAGATCACACCACTGCACTCCAACCTGGGTGAAAGAGCAAGACTTGTCTCAAAATAAATAAATAAATAAATAAATAACATCCAAAAAAATGAGTCAAGTCTTTTTTCCTGTTAAGCTGGATTAGGAGGGGTCTCTTGAGTAGAGTCACCCATTCCCATGTTTTCCTTTCCTTTTTCTTTGTCTTTAACAATAGGTTTGTGAAAATAACACCATAGTTCATATCAATGATCAAATATGACCAAAGTTCCTTCAACTGGAGAATGCTTACAACTCTCTGGGTCTCTCGCATAGTATTTATTGCAATGGAATTTCAGAATTGAGAATTTATAAAAGATGTATCATTAAGGTTTAAATATTTTCTCCAGACTCTTTGAGGTCTTATATTGTTATACCTAAGGGTATCCACTACAAAGTAAAATTAAATGATTCTGTAACTTGACGATTTCACTTTGGTTCATGGAAATACCCAAGGAATAAAAGAAAATGAAATTAACGTGTGAATATTCAGCAACCGTGAGTTTCAATTTTAAAACGTACTTAGGCTTCCTTCACTCGCTTGCTCTTCTTTAGTAATCTGTTTCCTCCTCTGTCACTTTTAAGAAGTGTGATTTTTTTCTCTTCTGACTCATTTGTGTTTCTTGATGTTGATTTGAACGGCTACCATGACAGGAAAAAAAAAAAAAATCTGTTATTTTTAAAATAAAGTTCAAGGTTCTGACAGGCAGGGAGACCACTCCAAGCTTGCTTCTGGCTGCGTCCGCTGGGGTGATGTTTCCAGCAGGGCAGGAGCTATACGCCCCGGGCCGGCCTTCGGAATCCCAGAAAGAAGTGAGAAGCCTGGTGGGCAGAGCACATACAAAATTAAAACTTTCTGAGACATGTGATTCCTGTTTCCCTTCTTCATCACATACTTGGGTTTTTTATTAGCACCAGTGGATTCCATGGGTTTCTATCCGAGCCACAGTACAAATTATTCTCCTGGTGACTGAATTAGAAGTTGACAGTAAGTTGGAAGAATGCCTTTGGATCTGACATGACGAACAGATTAATCCTTCATGTATTTCCATTTCCATTCCTCCCTCCCCCCGGGAAAGTTTCCGCATTCTTTCAAGAAGTGCCTCCTAAAGGAGCCTAGTAGGTAATCCTTTGTCACAGAGCAAAGGCCTGGGCGTTAATCAGTCACAGTTTCCCCTAAGAGGAAATAGGAACACAGATTTCCTATATAAACTCATGTCTCGTCACCGTGTTCACAGCAGACCCAGTTCAGAGTTGGAATTCTTCTAGAAATCGTTTCTCAGCTGACAGGGAAACATGGATTCTCCAAGGCCAGGATGGTTTCCCAGCGTCTTCCCAGGAAGACAAGAGGTAACGGGGGAGCTCAGAGGGGCCTTTCTTGTCTCTTTGGTTTTATGTCATGGTTGCTTCTAATATAATTTCTACAGTATCTAAAAATCAGGCTAAAGAATATTACCAGGAAGGCGTCGTTAAATGAAAATTTGGCAAGCCTCTTAGTTACCTTTATCCAGCTCTGTGCAGGAAATCTGGGATCTATGCTTCAGGAAACCATTTCCAGTCCACCACGCCTCGGTCAATAGTGCCCTGGGGATGGCACAGAAGCATTGTCTGTTTGGGCCTGTGGGTTGTCAGACAGCCAAGAATCCAAGGTGAGGTTCACCTTTTTAGAAAAACAGTCCCTAACAATTGCTGGGGACATAGGCCGGCTCGATGACACAGGAAAATCCCACCCGTTGTAAACTGGACATTTTCTATCTTTGTAATCAAAACTGCCCTCTTCATTTTTCTTAACAACTAGATTTGTGAAGTGGCATTTTAATTAAAAGTGACACACAGAGCAAGCGTGAGGGACCTGGTCTGCAGGCCAGTGAGCTGGTCTTCAAGGAGCTTGTCTTCAGGCTCCTGAGGACACAGGGCCGGTACTCTGTGTGTAAGGGTTTCCTGCCTGTGCAGTTCATGCTGCAGAGACAGATGATATTGTCGGCTGCAGATGTGTGCCAACTGCCTAAGGGATGGCATCATTCATATTAGGAGAAAGAAGACAAGAAATTTATAAACACTTTTGGGTATGTGAGTTACAGAGAGATTTCTCAGACCCGGCAGTACATCAGGATGAGGTCTGGTGCCAAATGCAAGGGCCGTGAGTGGACCAGTCCTACCAGATATATGAACTCACCCTCAACTGCAGCTCCATCCCCTGGGGGTGGCCCCCTGTGGATTGAACAACAGGAAAGGGGATCACATTCTGCTCAAAAATGACCATTTGCAGTGACTTTTTTTTTTTTGAGATCAGTCCTCCCTCTATCACCAGCGCTGGAGTTCATTGCACAACCCCTTGGCGTCACTGGCAGACTGCCTCCCCGGTTCAAGAGCACTTCTCACCCGTGCCTCCCTCCTAGTACGCTGGGATTACAGGCGCCTGCCACCACGCCCAGCTAATTTTTATGCTTTTTAGCTAAGAGATGGGTTTTGCCTATTGGCCAGGCTGGTCTCAAACTCCTGACACCTCAGGTGTCCGCCCACCGGCGCTCGGACTCCCAAGTGCTGGGATGCTACACGGCGTGAGCCACCATGCCCGGCCTGCGTGAACACTTTTTAAAGCTGCTTACTACACATGAACACTAAGATGGAAACAACAGACCACGGCGGAACTCCAAGAAGGGAGGAGAGGAGGGAGGAAGAAGCAGTGTTTGAAAACTATCTAATTGGGCACTCATGCTTCCAACTACTGGGGGTGATGGGGTTCAATAGAAGCACCAAGCCCAGCATTATGCCAAAATTAGTACCACATGCCACAAACCACATCAGCCGCATACTCTGGAATCTAAATAACATTTTTAAAACTGCTTATTCTGTTGCAGAGTTTGGTAAAATTATTTACAACATAGTTAAGAGGACAGGATCTCTGTGGAACTAACAACTGAACAAACCTGTCTCCAAATAGATTTTTATCTGAGAGCCTTTTCTCCTTGTTTTGATAGAAATAAGCATAAGCAAAGAACTGGATTTGTGTTTATTTTATGATGAGAGGCTGATTCAGTTCTCAACACTTTAAATAAAATATGTTGATAGTATTTAACTGATTCAAAACTAACTCTACCAAGATCATCCTGCTGTCAGAAATGGTGCAGATTTCCATGTTCGAACAGTGAAACATATACATATATAGATAGCTCTACAAAGCTATATATACTTAATTTTACATATCATATTTGATAATTAAAGGCTAATCCATGTTACCCCCATGTTGCTTGGCTGAGAAATGAATTTTTTAAATAATCATGTTTGTGGGAAATTAATTATTATTTAGAAACAAACAGGATTTGCTCCAATTTACGGCGTTTTTCCAGATAACTATGTGACACTATATAACAGACAGAATTCATTTCTGATAAGGCGGCATACGTAGACGAGCACTTATTTACATAAGCAAGCTCAAATTCATCGATTCGTCATGTGGTCCCCTAAACATGAGGAGGACAGCCAGTCCAGGCGTGCCTTGTCGCCTCTCCTTACAGAGGGGAAACAGAGACCAGCACAGGCTGGATACGTGAGTTGATAGGACAGTGGAAAGGCAAAGCGCCAGTCCCCTGCGGTGCTCCTCAGATTGGAAACGGTGCTCCTGCTCCAACTGAAAAAAACAGTCAGCTCTTATTACCACCACCAAAGGTGAAGTTCAGACCTGCCAAAGAAAAACTTTTCCATTATTAAAAACATGATTTGACAGTTATGCAAGTGACAGAGAACATTAACAAATAAGAGCATATCCTGTGGATTCTGCAAACGGTTTGCTGGTTGATAACCTATATTTTGGAACAGTTTTAAGATCACTTGAGTTGATCTTGGCCAGAGTTCCCAATTATTTCTGCATGTTATCTGCTGACCGAAATGCACGCTTTCTAATCTCTTCTTTGCACACACTTGGCATGTTTCCTTTCCGCACAGCCAATAATTCGTTCGTTTCGCTCACTGAGGGTTTATCAGCGGTTTATCAGGTATCTCTTTGCAAGCTCATGATTGTGCAAGATCTTGAAAAATGAAGTGGTTGATTCCACGTTCTAATTTCAGGAAATATTTCTTAGACAGCCAATATTGAGTCCTTTCTCTACTACAGTATAAATATATGTTTTGCCCAGGAGCCTAGCAAAATGATTGATTAGAAGATTTTAGTTCTAGAAAGTCCAAATTACCCCTGTAATCCCAGCACTTGGGAGGCTGAGGTGGTTAGATTACTTGAGGTCAGGAGGTTCGAGACCAGCCTGGCCAGTATAGTGAAACCCCATCTCCAATAAAAATACAAAATTACTTCTGCAAGGTGGCACATGCCTGTAATCGCAGCTACTCAGGAGGCAGAGGCAGGAGAATCGCTTGAAGGCAGGAGAATCACTTGAACCCAGGAGGCGGAGGTTACAATGAGCTGAGACTGCACCATTGCACTCCAGCCTGGGCAACAGAGCACGACTCCATCTCAAAAAAAAAAAAAAAAAAAACAAAGAAGACAGTTGAATTACTTAGACTTGTCACTTCATCACTCTGAGTCACACCTTCTTGGTCTAAAACATAAAGGGCTGGGTGAGAATTGTTTAAAGATATCTTCGAGACCTCGAGTTCTATGCTCTAGGGTGGTGCTGGTCTGGGTTTGGAGTTAGCAACAGAAATCCCCAGAAAGTAACTACTGCAGGTGTCAGCCACGACTGGGACCAGCCGCGCTCATCTCCTTGTCTTGCAGGATGAGGTCTGCATGTTTTGGGGCGAATGTTTTGTCATCTTCCTATGAGAAAGCAGCACTGGCCTGGGGGGCTTGCTCCTCCTGCCTCCCTCATTTGTTTTTCCTCTCTCACTGCTCTCCAAAAGAAGTGAGAACATTTTTTTGAAACACATTTTATTAATGGAAAATTTTTATTTGAAAGATGGTCATTTCCTTTTTATAATATTGCTTATATTCAGGAAGGAAAAGCTGAGAATCCGTGGGCTTTGATTTTAAAACTCAAACAGAAATGTTAGTTAATAAAACAAAGGTATTCTTCCCACTGTTCTGAGGGCCGTTCTGGCAAATGGTTCTGGGGGCCGTGTGATGGTTTATGTTACTAGAAGTGATTCACTGGGAAGGTGAACCACTTCATCTCGTCAGAAACCATGGAAACCCTCGATACCACTCTGCTCCCCTCTTAGGGGAGTTCTCAACAGAAGACACTGGAAAGTGGATGTCACTGGGATGAAGTTAGAAATCCCAAAAGTGCACTATTTGAGCAAGATCGAATTCAAAGGCATCACTGTTTTCAAAACCTGTTTTTGGCTTCCTTCCAATCTGAAGCCAACACCGACGTTCTGTTATGCTGTTTCCCGTTGTGGGCGGATTGACTTAATTTTTAATGAGTGATTCACCACTCATGGCTGTATGTTTTCCGCCTGCTGAGCTGAGAATTAAGTCATGTTTCCTTTAAAAAATTCTTTTTGATATCAACTGAGTAATGTGGTTCACAGTGTTTGAGACAAGGAGACATGTTAATATCACTTAAAAGAAGGCATTTAACCTGACCTAGGCTCTTAAGACACGGCAATCATGACGCCATCATGACTGGAATGCTCTAGAAAAGGAGTCTGTCTCATTCAGCTTTCAAAAACATTTCTTTCTGTAAGAATATTTTCCAAAGTTGTGCAATTTTTTGAAACATTTTTTGAGGGTAGTACAAATCCAATCCATTTGGGAAGTCACGTGGCAGGTTTCCTAATGGGAAGCCTGGTAATATCGTGCGTTTCCCCACGGTGTTCGCAGTGTCTCACCCCTGTCCACTCTGATTACTCCAACTGGCCTCTGCCCATCCAGCAGGGGTCTGGCAATCCTTTCTGATCCATAATTTTTATTAAAATAGCACCAGAGGTACTTGTGGCCACCAGAGCTATTTAGCTCCTGCCTTGGGCCCCACCCCTTACCAAACTATTCCCTCTCCTGGGCCCCTCAACACCACTCCTTCAGGATGGCTCTGAAGCACAGGCCGCCCCATCTTTACAGTGAGTCCCTCCTGCCTGACCTGAGCACAGACCAGTGAGCCCACCGAGTGAGCAGTTGAAGCTCATCCCTGTGCCCAGCACCTCAGGGCCCCCAGGATCAGATTTTACCCAGTAGAACCCAAGAACCTAGAGGATGGCAAACACAGCCAGCAAGGAGGCGGCAGGAGGGGTGCAAATCAGAGGGGTAAGACAGGGAGGCTGGAGGGGCAGGTGGAGCATTTGGGAGTCAGTCGTGGGGAAAACAACATGACCAGAAAAGGAGCAGAGGTGGGGCCTGCGAGGCTCAGGTGCCGAGTGTCTGTGCTAAGCAGCCACGTGGGGGTCAGCAGGTCACCCCT